GAGGCTGAGCCCCATACCCAGGGATGCTTGAGCTTAGCCCCTGGTCCTGGCTGCTTCCCTGCATCCCCCTGTGTGCTCCCATCCACTGTCTTGGCAAGGGACATGCCGTGGCCAGTAGCCTGTGTGTGTCCCCATGGCGGGTCCCCGTGCCAAGCTGATGGGTGTCCCCAGCAGAAGATGCCCACCAGAAGCTCTCCCGGGAGACCCTGGAGGAGCTGGATTGGTGCCTGGACCAGCTGGAGACGCTGCAGACGCGGCACTCGGTCGGCGAGATGGCCTCCAACAAGGTGAGCATCCACAGAGCCCCTGGGGAGGGGAGCAGGGTCCTGACTGCCCTCTAAGCCCTGCCCGCTGCCCCCAGTTCAAGAGGATGCTGAGCCGGGAGCTGACGCAGCTCTCGGAGACCAGCCGCTCCGGGAACCAGGTCTCCGAGTACATCTCCAGCACCTTCCTGGGTGAGGTCCCCCCCCACCTCGGTGCCACCTCTGCCGGCAGCAGGGTCCTGGCGTTGGGTTCCCCCCCAACCCGGTCTTGCTCACGGTCCCCTGTGCCGGCCCAGACAAGCAGCACGAGGTGGAGATCCCGTCGGCGCTGGCCAAGGACAAGGAGAAGGAGCGTCGGAAGCGCCCCATGTCCCAGATCAGCGGCGTCAGGAAGCTCACGCACGGCTCCAGCCTGGCCGCTGCCGGCATCCCTCGCTTCGGGGTGCGCACGGACCAGGAGGGGCTGCTGGCTAAGGTGGGTGACCCAGGCGGCCCTGGGGTGCCTGGCACTGGCCCCACATGGACCCCTGTCCCTCTGCTCCTCAGGAGCTGGAGGACACCAACAAGTGGGGGCTCAACGTGTTCAAAGTCGCCGAGTACTCGGGCAACCGCCCGCTGACGGTCCTCATGTACAGCATCTTCCAGGTGAGCATCCCAGCGGGATGGCCCCATCCCTGTGCCCGGATGGGGATGAGCCAACCCCTGGCCCTCCCTGCAGGAGCGTGACCTGATGAAGACCTTCCGCATCCCCGTTGACACCTTCATCACCTACATGCTGACGCTGGAGGACCATTACCACGCTGACGTGGCTTATCACAACAACATCCACGCCGCCGATGTAGCTCAGTCCACCCATGTCCTCCTCTCCACGCCTGCTCTGGAGGTGAGCCCTGCTCACCCAAAGCCACTGTCTGTGTCTGGCAGGGCCGTAGCCCATCAGAAACACCTTTTCCCCCTATCCCTAGGCTGTCTTTACGGACCTGGAGATCATGGCCGCTATCTTTGCCAGCGCCATCCATGATGTTGACCACCCTGGTGTCTCCAACCAGTTCCTCATCAACACCAGTGAGCTGGGGCACAGGGATGGAGATGATGGGGGGGGGGGGGGGAACAGGGGGACCTTGGCTTCCAGCAGCTGCCCCGGGGTGACCGGTGCCATCCTGCAGACTCGGAGCTGGCGCTGATGTACAACGACGCCTCCGTGCTGGAGAACCATCACCTGGCCGTGGGCTTCAAGCTTCTCCAGGAGGAGAACTGCGACATCTTCCAGAACCTGAGCAAGAAGCAGAGGCAGTCGCTGCGCAAAATGGTCATCGACATGGTATGGGGAACCCTGACCCCCCCTCCCTGGCTGGGGGGGGTTGTGGGGGGGTCAGGCTGAGCCCTGTTCCCAACTTGTCTTATCCAGGTGCTGGCCACGGACATGTCCAAGCACATGAATCTGCTGGCGGATCTGAAGACAATGGTGGAGACCAAGAAGGTGACGAGCCTCGGGGTGCTGCTGCTGGACAACTACTCCGACCGGATCCAGGTGAGTGCAGGGATGCAGGGAACCCTTCCTGGCATTGCAGGCACTGGTCCTGTCTCTGGACAGGACTGCTGGGACGTCCTGTTTGGTGCCACTCCATCTCCCAACACCATCGGCCATGGCCAACAGGGTTCCTGGCATAGGGGGGTGGCCCTGGGGGACAGAGGACTCTGAAGTGATGCCGTGGCTGTGTCATAGAATCAGGGAATGGGTTGGGTTGGAAGGGACCTTAAAGCTCCTCCAGCTCCAACCGCGGGCAGGGACCCCTTCCACTAGAGCAGCTTGCTCCAAGCCCCTGTGTCCAACCTGGCCTTGAGCACTGCCAGGGATGGGGCAGCCACAGCTTCCCTGGGCACCCTGTGCCAGCGCCTCAGCACCCTCACAGGGAAGAGCTTCTGCCTTATCTCCAACCTGAACTTCCCCTGTTTCAGTCTGAACCCATCACCCCTTGTCCTATCGCTGCAGTCCCTGATGAAGAGCCCTTCTCCAGCATCCTTGTAGCCCCTTTCACACACGCTGGAAGCTGCTCTGAGGTCTCCACGCAGCTTCTCCCCTCGAGGCTGAGCAGCGCCGATGTGCTCAGGTCTGTGCCCCTGTTTCCCCAGGTCCTGCAGAACATGGTGCATTGCGCCGACCTCAGCAACCCCACCAAGCCGCTGGAGCTGTACCGCCAATGGACCGACCGCATCATGGTGGAGTTCTTCCACCAAGGCGACCAGGAGCGGGAGAAGGGCATGGAGATCAGCCCCATGTGCGACAAGCACACGGCCTCTGTGGAGAAGTCCCAAGTAAGGGCAGCATCATGGGGGGGGTCAGAGGGGGCTCCACAGGGCTTAGGGCTGAGGGCTCAGCTTTGCCTTCTTTCAGGTGGGCTTCATTGACTTCATTGCGCACCCGCTGTGGGAGACGTGGGCTGACCTGGTGCACCCGGACGCGCAGGAGCTCCTGGACACGCTGGAGGACAACCGGGAATGGTACCACAGCATGATCCCGCGCAGCCCGTCCCCCCCGCCCGCGGGGCATGGAGCATCCCCTGCCAGCACCGACAGGTTCCAGTTCGAGCTGACGCTGGAGGAGGAGGAGGAGGAGGAGGAGGAAGAGGAGGGGGAGCTGGACACGGAGCCGGAGGGCGCAGAGAGCCCCTTGGAGGAGGACAACAGTGGCTCCAAGACACCAGCCACAGACGACTCGGGGTCGGCTGACATCAAGTGCCTGTCACCCGGCCCTGGGGACTCGGACTCACCCGTCACCTGCCCCAGGGATGTGGACAACCGGCAGGCACTGGAGGGGATGATGCCAAAGGACAGCGGTGGCAGTGGGTGCTCAGAGCCGGGGCCTGCGGGGCTGTGCCTGGACACGGAGGGCAACGTCACATTCCTGCCCCTGGGCACGTAGCGGCACCGGCCGTGGGTCCCCCTCGCTGCCGCAGGGATGTGGGACTGGGCACTGCCCCGGTGAGAGCATCAGCACGGCAGGGACACGGAGGGACCCAAAGTTTGTCCCCATTTGGGGGGGTCCTGATGGGCACAAGGACTCTGCTGAAAAGGCCCCTGTGCTCTTCAGACAGGGCTTGGGAACACTGTGCCCCAGCCCCATCCCACCGTGGGGACGTGGAGGCTCACAGGGCTCCGGGGACGAGGTCCTCCATGGGGCCAAAGGCGTTTTGACCTCTCTCTAGGCGGCCCCTGGCCCAACACAGCCCCACGGAGGGCCGGCGAGGGGGATGAAGGGTGCTGGTGCCAGCATCCTCAGCACGGCCGAGTGCCGGTGCCCGTGGTTTATTTATTCAGGGCCGGGTTCACCGTTCCAAGCCTTTTGTAGCTCACGTTTCCATACAAGCCCCCCCTCCCCGGGTGCACTCACGTCAGGACACGGTCCCGCTCTGCCATCAGCACTCGAAACGCTGCCTTTGGACTTTGCACTTGGGGCCCCAGCGGGTGCTGTGACCCCCCCCTCTGTGTCTCCACAGGGGCCGGGGCATCCCCTGAGGTTCCTTTTGGTCTTCCTTCACTTCCCAGAGATTAAACCTGGTTTGTTCCCTTCCGAACACGAGCCTTGGGAGTGCCAATGCCCAGCGTGGTTGGTGGCCCCGTTTCCTGCCAGGCACCGAGGGAGGGGTGTGGGGGCCCCCCCCCTGCTCCGTGTTTGAACAAAAGCTTGCTCCTCCCTGCCAAACGCAACGGGTTAAGGTAAATATTGAACCGCCGGCTTGGCGCGGCGCTGAGCCCTTCCCCTCGCTCTTCCGCATCGCTCCCAACGGTGATTTACGGCTGCAAACACGTCCCCACCCGTGGCACTGCCCCACCGGGGCCCCGGCTCCCGTGTGCTCCTCTCGCATCCCTGCTGGATCCCAGCGCTGGGTGCCGCAGGAGCCGGCGGGTGGAGCGGTGCCAGCGCCGTCTCGCAGGCGGGTGCTCGGCATCTCCCCCCCTCCCGTCTCCGGATGAAGCGGAGCTGGGCGCCGGCAGGTTGATGGGAACCAGGCTCCCAGAGCTCCAGATCCAGCCCCAGGGGCAGGGAGCGGGCCGGGAGCTGATGGAAAAACCCTTTTCACCCCTTGCTTGGCTGAGGGGCGGCATCACCCAGGCACCAAGGAGGGCGGTGGAGCCCATGCCCGGGGGAGGTGCAGTGCGGCTGGATGCATCCCTGCCTCCCGGCCGTGCCGTGATGCTGAGGAGGCTCAGGGCCATGTCCCTGCACCCAGTGGGCTCCAGGCAGAGCCTGAGGGTGTCCAGCTCCATCCTTGCACAGGCTGTGACATCCTCGACGCATCCCTGAGGAGCAGCCATATGTTGCCTCCCTCTAATCCCCTCGAGGCTCGGGCAGGACATTGGCGTACACGGCCAGGTACCCCTGTCTGGGGATGGGGATGAAGCTGCAGGCCTGAAGTGGGGGGGGGGGGGGGGTTGGAGCTGTGGCGATAGGGCGTCATATCGCGACAGGGGAGGCTGTGAAAGCCCTGCACCCCCGCTCCCCCAGCGAATGGTTCCCCCCGCGGCCCAGCCGAGGCGCCGCCGGACCGCACCACTGCGCGCTGCAAGGGGGGAGCCCCGGCGGCGCCCACCAACCCCGCCCGGCACCGTGTCTATCGCAGAGCGCTGACCACCAATCAGCGCTTCGCTTTGGGGCCCGGGAGGTGACGTCGCGACATCATTTACATACGCCACGCCCCTTCTCCTCCCCAGCGAGACGTCACCCGGGCTCTGCAGTTGCTGCAGGAGGAGGCGGCGTGGAGGTGAGCGAGCGACATCCCCCCCCCCCCCTTTTCTTACCCCCCCCCCTTCAACCGGGTACCCCCCCCCCCCCGGTACCGGGGGGGGGGGGTACCCGGTTGAGGGGGGGGGGGAGGGGGCAGCGAGAAGCTGACTGCAACGGTGTTGGGGGGGGGGGAAAGATGCATTTGGGGGGGGGGGCGCCGTGCATCCCCGCATCCACCCATCCCCTGCATCCCAGCATCATCTCCCCCCCCACCACCCCGCACCTCCCATGGCGGCTCCCGCAGCACCGAGCGCGGCGTGTGCGGGCACTGCTGCAGGTGCCATTTTGCAGGGGAGATGCGGGAGAGGCTGCAGCGCCCTCAATGCAGCCGCAGTCCCGTTGCTGGGGTCGTGGTACACCCCCCCCCCCCCTTTGCCATGGTCGTGGTGTCCCTCTTTGCCAGGATCATGTCCATCCCTTTGCCAGGGTCGTGTCTACCCCCTTTGCCAGGGTTATCATGTCGTCCCCCCCCTTTGCCAGGGTTGTGTGTACCCCCTTTTGCCATGGTTGTGTTCCCCCCCCCTTTGCTTGGGGTCATGGTCCCCCTTTTGCCAGGGTTGTGTTGCCCCCTCTTTTGCCAGGGTTGTGGTCCCCCCTTTGCTGGGTTCTCTGCACCCCATCTTTGATGCAGGCACCTTCTTGGGGTGGCTGCATTGGGGGTGATGGGTCCTGGCCCTGCAGAGTCCTTTGGGCCCAATCACCCGTGTTGGTGGCAGCTCCCAATCCAAATAGGATCAAACCGTGCCTGCCCCAGTGGGAAACCGGTGGCACCGGGGCCTGGCATCGGGTGCGTTTGCCATCCCTGTCATGGCCTCTCCTGTGTCCCTGCCTTGCAGATGGCGTCCGCTACCGACTCCCGCTATGGGCAGAAGGAATCCTCGGACCAGAACTTCGATTACATGTTCAAAATCCTCATCATCGGCAACAGCAGCGTGGGGAAAACCTCCTTCCTCTTCCGGTACGCTGACGACTCCTTCACACCGGCCTTCGTCAGCACCGTCGGCATCGACTTCAAGGTCAAGACCATCTACCGGAACGACAAGCGCATCAAGCTGCAGATCTGGGTGAGACCCCGGCACTGGGTGCTTGCTGTGGGGCTGTTTGCTTCGCAGGGGTGGTGGTGGTGGTGGTGGTGGTGTGTGTGGGGTGATGCTGGTGCTGCTGTCCCCGGCCGGGTGGCACGGTGCTGATGTGCTGCTCTCACCCCAGGACACAGCCGGCCAGGAGCGGTACCGCACCATCACCACCGCCTACTACCGCGGTGCCATGGGCTTCATCCTGATGTACGACATCACCAACGAGGAGTCCTTCAACGCCGTGCAGGACTGGTGAGCACTCAGGCAGGGTTCTGGGGGGTCCATTCCCCCCCAAATACCTTTCCCAGGCATCCCCATCACCCATCTCTGCCCCCCCATCATCCGGTCCCTTTTTCCCTTCCCCTAAGGTCCACCCAGATCAAAACCTACTCGTGGGACAACGCCCAGGTCCTGCTAGTGGGGAATAAATGTGACATGGAGGATGAGCGCGTCGTCTCCTCGGAGAAGGGCCGCCAGCTCGCCGAGCACTTGGGTGAGCCGGGGTGGGGGGGACACCCATCTGCCCCCCCACCCCCATGTCATTGAATTCAGGGCTGGATTCCCTCCCTGTCATTCTGCTTTGAGAGCGGCAGTGACTTGTCCCTCAGTGCATAAGGAATAAGGCATCACCGGGGGAAGGGGTGTGTGGGGAGGTGATGCTGCTTCCCATTGCAGCACCAGAAACCTGCCGAGGGGATGGAGCTGGGTGGCTGCAGGGGCAAGGATGGAGCCGGGTGGTCCAGGTGTGTGCAGCGCACGCATCCCTTCACTGGTTAATGATGGGAGGAGGAGCCGGGGAGGGTTCTGCTGGGCACAGCCCTGATCTATATCCATGTGTGTGTGTGTGTTTGTGTGTGTCCCCTTCCTCTGCCTGCATCCTCCAGGCTTTGAGTTCTTCGAGGCCAGCGCCAAGGACAACATCAACGTGAAGCAGACCTTCGAGCGCCTGGTGGACATCATCTGCGAGAAGATGTCGGAGTCGCTGGACACGGCCGACCCGGCGGTCACCGGCGCCAAGCAGGGCCCCCAGCTCACGGACCAGCAGGCCCCCCCGCACCAGGACTGTGCCTGCTAGGACCAAGCCCCCCCCCCCCCCCCCCCCAACACCCCTCAATACTGGTCAGTGCACCCCTCTCCTCCCCCTGAGCCCCTCTTCTTGGGGGGGGTCCCACGGGGGCTTTTGCTGCTGATACCTCCGAAAGGGCTGCAGCCCCTCTAGGAGCCCCCCCTTCAGTTAGGCTCTGCCCCCTCCAATCCCCTTAATTTATTTTTAAGCCTGGGCTGGTAGACACCCCCCCCCCTTGTTCTGCTTTTAATCACTCCAAACCCCCCTTTTCCCTGAGGAATACTATTTTCTCTGCTCACCCCCCATCCCATCCCTCCCTTGGGAGCAGGGATGCACCCCCTGCCCTTGTGGGGAGCTGCAGTGGGACCCCCCCCCCCAAACCTCAGATCCCCGCTGGGCCTCCCCATGTCCCCATCCCCAGCCTGGCCTGCCCAAAGAGCTCCTTGGGGGGGGGGTCTCTTTGTGCCCGGCTCTTCCCCCCCCCAAGATGGATGGATACTTCCTATCTCTTGTTTATTTGTATAAATAGATGCTAATTTATGCTCCCGCCGTCTTCCTCCTTGTACATAAAGAAGAACCCCTTGTAAATAGGTGTAGAAGTGACGCTGTGCGTGACCTGCTGTGCTGTGGCCGTGTTGGTGCATCCAGGTTTTCTTTCTCTCTGTGGTAACCTTGCTTGTGAATATCTTTGCAAGAGAAATCTTCTTTAAAGGTACCCCCAAAACCCACCCAGATGCATCCCCGAGAGCTCGGCCGAGCAGCCTGCAGCAAGTTAGCCCTGCTTTGGGGATGGGGACCTTGGTACAACCCCGGCTTTGCCTCCATGGGGACCATTGTGTTGCTGATTTGCTACGGGGCGTTCGGCTCCTCCTGTGTTCCTGTAGTACCGTGCTTCTGTGGAGACTGTGCCCACGTGGATGTTCCTGTAGCAAACCTGGACCTGGAGGTCTTGCTTCCCTCTTATTTATTTTTCTTGGAGTTCTGTGTTTTTAATTTCCAGGTTCCCCCCCCCCCCCCCCTTTTTCCCTGACTGCAAATCCCACCTCCCTTCCCCTTCCCCTTTCCTATTTTTTTGGTGAAGTTTACTTATGGAAGAGTTAACTCTGTACTGTACAAATGTCAAAAGTGTCAAAAAAAACAAACAAAAAAAAAAAAAGAAAAAAAGACAAATTTCCTAAAAATCACTGTATTCCAGAAATGGTGTGAAGAAATAAATCACTGCTGATCACTGGCCTCTGGGGGTCACTGCGGGCGCAGGGCAGGGCGGGGGGGGGGGGTGCCCCGTGTCCGTACCCGCGGCCCCGCTGCCGACCTCGTCTCCAAAGAGGAGCCAAAACTGCTCTGGTGTCTTCATGAGCATCCTCCAAAGGGCTCCTGGCAGCTCGGGTGGCCCCTTGGTGCCGGGGGGGGACCACAGGAGGGATGAAGACAGCTCCAAGGCACTGGGTTAAGCTTTAGGAAAGCCAACATTGAGGCAGCTCCCGTTGATGCTGGAAACAAGGGAAGGTCCCGGTGAGGGGCCAGACCCTGCCCAACCGTTGCCTTAGAAGCACCCAGCTGCCTCCGCATGGGTTCAGCCGTGGCAGCGAGCAGGCGGCTGCGCTCACACCGCTCTTATTTATAGGCACCGGGTGGCTGCAGGAGCCCACGCATGGGGATGGGGAGAGGGGGGGTGAGGAGGAGCTCAGCGACTCCAGCTCTGAGGACAGAGCAGCGGCAGCAGCAGCAGCAGGGAACGGGCTGAGGTTCCAAAGGGGCAGCGTCCTCTTTGCCAAGCAGCCAGAAGAGGAGCAGAGGAAGGCGCTGGAGCGGAGCAAGGGGCCAGGCTTGCCCTGGAGAAGGGCAAATCAACCTGTCCGGAGGGGGCAAAGCGGAGCTGCAGCAGCTCCTCCCCACGCCAGGGGCTCTGTGGATGGAGAGAGACAGAAACCGCTCTACAGCCCACCCTGGGGCAGCGATGGGCTCCAAACACAACCCCAACGCAGTGCTGCGGCCAACAGAGGAGTTAAGCAGCAAGCACTGAGGTGGCGGTGATGGTCGCCAGCCATTGCTTGCGGTAGGGGGACTGAGGCACGGAGATGCCCAGAAAACATCTCACCATGGGGAGAAGCCTCTGGAAAACGCTGCCATGAGAGCAGCTCCTTCACATCCCCGGCCCTGCGCTGGCTGTGCTCCGTGCTCGGGGGGGTGCCGGGCTGGAAAACAGGAGAGGTGCTGTGTGTGGGGTGAGCCCGGCGATGGGGATGCCCCCCCGGTGCTGGGGCTCACCCTGTGTTTGAGGTAGGAGAGGTACGTGTCCCAGCCCAGCGTGACCACGTTGACATAAATCACCCGGTACTTGGGGGGCACGAAGAGGAAGTTGATGAGCTGAGCCCCGGGCCAGACGCACCAGTCAGCCTGTGGAGAGCAAGGAACCACAGTCACAGCCTGGCTTGGGTTATAGGGACCTTAAAGCTCATCCAGCTCCAAGCCCTGCCACTGGGACCCCTTCCACTGGAGCAGCTTGCTCCAACCTGGCCTTGAACACTGCCAGGGATGGGGCAGCCACTGCTTCTCTGGGCACCCTGTGCCAGCGCCTCAGCACCCTCACAGGGTCAGGGTTAGGGTGCTCCTGCCTTATCTCCAACCTGAACTTCCCCTATTTCAGTTTGAACCCATCACCCCTTGTCCTATCGCTCCAGTCCCTGACGCAGAGCCCCTCTCCAGCATCCTTGTAGCCCCCTTCACACACTGGAAGCTGCTCTGAGGTCTCCACGCAGCTTCTCCTCTCCAGGCTCAACAGCCCCAATGTTCTCAGCCTGGCTCCACACAGGAGCTGCTCCAGCCCCTGTTCATCCTCGCGGCCTCCTCTGGACTCACCCCAACAGCTCCAAGTCCTTGTGCTGAGGCCACCAGCACCACACACAGTGCTGCAGGGGGGGGGTCTCACAGAGCAGAGCAGAGGGGCCCCCGATGAAACCCGAGGGCAGGAGGGGTGGCTTTACCTTGTAAAACTCCCAGAATTTGTCCTTCAGCTCCTCCCAGCTCTCCCTCAGAGCCTGCCCTCCAGCGTGCCCATGCCTGCGGGACACAGCATCAGTGCATGGCGGTGCTCCGGAGCTCAGCACCACGGGCGCAAGGAGGGTGCTGGCACCTACCCAGGAAGTACCAGGCGCCCAGGGCGGGCGATGCCACCAGCTGGTCCATGAAGACTTTCTTGAGGATGGTTCTGAGCCCCCTCACGCCCCGCGCCGGGAAGGCAGCGTCGAGCCACAGGTACCAGTAATGCATGAGCGGGCCCATGCTGCAGCCGATGGCGAACATCCGCCCTGCAACACAACACCGGGCACCCGTGCATTATTCATGTGGCTGCCCCACGGCCCCGGCGGCGGGTCTGGTGCTGGGGGGAGCACAAAGGCTTCGTGTGGTGCCGGGGAGCTGGAGCCTAATTCCTGCTCCATCGGAATGAGGATGAGTTCAGAGGCATAAATCATAGACTTCAGAATGGGTTGGGGTGGAAGGGACCTTTAAAGCTCATCCAGCTCCAACCCCTGCCACGGGCAGGGACCCCTTCCGCTGGAGCAGCTTGCTCCAAGCCCCTGTGTCCAACCTGGCCTTGAACACTGCCAGGGATGGGGCAGCCACAGCTTCTCTGGGCTTCTCTCAGCACCCTCACAGGGAAGAGCTTCTTCCTTAGATCTAACCTGAACTTCCCCTGTTCCAGTCTGAACCCATCACCCCTTGTCCTATCACTGCAGTCCCTGATGCAGATCCCTCTCCAGCATCCTTGTAACCCCCTTCAGACACTGGAAGCTGCTCTGAGGGCTCACTGCAGCTTCTCTTCTCCAGGCTGACCACATCAGCTCCTGGGGGTTTGCAGAGAGGTTTTCAGGAGCACGAGTTGCTGCTCACGCTCCTGTTGATGCAGCCCAGGATACGGGTGGTTTCGGGGCTGTGAGCGCACACTGAAGCCGGCTCACGTTCATTGTCTCATCAACCAGCACCCCGAGTCCTTCTCCTCAGGCTGCTCTGAACCTCTTCTCCCCGCCGCCTGTGGCTGCGCCTGGGGATTGCCCCGACCCACGTGCAGGACCTTGCCCTTGGCTTTGCTGAGCTCCATGAGCTTGCCCTTGGCCACCCCTCCAGCGCATCCAGGTCCCTCCGGATCGATCCCTTCCCCACCCGTTGTGTCCCCGCCCCACGGAGCTCGGCCTCAGCACCGCCGTGGGTACCGCTCCCGCCGCTGTCACCTGTGCGCGCCGGCTGCAGGTCGGTGCCCGGGTGCCGCCGGCAGTGCCAGGCCTGCTGCAGCACGTCCCCGGTGGCCAGCATGGCTCCGCAGCTCGCCGTGTTGGTCAGCAGCAGCAGCCGCCCCGTGAAGAGCCGCCGCCAGCCCCGCGCCAGCATCCTGCGGGCCCCTGCCGGGGGGGTCAGCGGGGATGGAGACACCCCCATAGCACCCCGGGACCCACTGATCTAGCACCCCTGAGACCCCATTACCCCCGCCGTGCCCCCGGTACTGATGCTGTACCCCGGTACGCGCGCCATGGTACCGGTATCATGCCATGCTCCCGGTACCCGTGCCTTGCTGCCGGTACCCGTCCCATGTGCCCCGTATCTGTGCCATGCTCCCGGTACCCACGCCTTGCCCCCGGTACCCGTGCCATCCTTCCAGTACCGGTGCACCCCTGTACCAGCGCCTTGTCCCCGGTATCCGTGCCATGTTCCCCATACCCGTGCCATGCTCCCGGTACCCGTGCCATTGTACAAGTACTGTGCCATGCTCCCGATACCCGTGCCATGCTCCCTGTACCCGTGCCATGCTCCCGGTAGCCATGCCTTGCCCCCAGTATCTGTGCCATGCTCCCGGTACCCGTGCCATTGTACAGATACTGTGCCGTACTCCGGTACCCGTGCCATGCTCCCGGTAGCGGTGCCATTGTACAGGTACTGTGCCATGCTCCCTGTACCCGTGCCATGCTCCCGGTACCCCGTGCCATGCCGCCGCTATCGGTGCCATGCTCCCGGTACCGGTGCGCCCTTGTACCAGCGCCTTGCCCCCAGTACCCGGTCCCCGTGACCTGCGCCATGGCACCGGTACCGTGCCCCCCTTACCCGTGCCGTGTCCCCCGATACCGGCGCTACACTTCCCCCCCCCCCCCCGTTACCCCGGACCTGCCCCCGCTCACCACCACCGCCACGCGGAAGAGAGGGCGCAGCCTGTGACGCAACCTCTTCCGCTTCCGGCAGCCGCCATGACACGTACCGAGGCACAGGCGGCCGCCATGACACCTACAGAGGCAGCTGCCATGGCATCTACACACGCAAGGCAGCCGCCATGACACGTACCGAGGCACAGGCAGCCGCCATGACACGTACCGAGGCACAGGCGGCCGCCATGACACCTACACAGGCAGCCGCCATGACACGTACCGAGGCACAGGCGGCCGCCATGACACGTACCGAGGCGGCCCGGGGGGCGCTGGTCCCGGTCCGCCCCCGCCCCGCCGCGCCGCTCCCATCGCCCCATCCGGAGCCTGCTGTTTCTGACCGAACCCTTCATTAACCTCTTTATTGCTCTCTCCCCGGTGCTCCCAGACCTTCCCTCAGCGCCGGCAGCGGGGCCGGGCCTCCGGTGTCCTTGAGCTCCCACAGGCTTCGGGCTTCTCCCCCTGGCAGAGAGTAACCGGTAGAGCCCAATGGGGACGGGTCCCGGTCCCCGTTCCCACCGGGATCCCACCTGGTAGAGGCGGCAGATGAGCCCCAGCAGCGACGCCTCGGCCTCTTCCTGCAGCTCGTCCGTGTGCTTCTGCGTGTGGGGACACGGGGCCGGTCAGGGGCACTCCCCCCCCCCCCCGGCCCTGGCTCACCCCCCATCCGCTCCCGGCCGTACCCCGTTAACCACGACCCAGGGCACGTATTGGTGCGGGGGGTCCAGCGCCTCCGTGCGCTGCGCGTTGCGGTGCATGAGGGCGGCCCCGGTGTCCCCCCGCACGCAGGCGGCGATGCGGGTCCCGTCCAGCTGCGGGGCATAGACCTGGAGGCACTGCGGGACGGAGCGGCCGTCAGCGCGGAGCGGGCCCGGAGCGGGGCCCGAGGGGGGACACACGTACGGCTTCCAGGGTCTGGGTGACGGAGCTGCCCGACTCCAGGCAGAAGATGACCGGGAAGTAGGTGCTGAAGTTCTTGGCCTCGTGCATCAGGCAGGTCTGCGGGGACAGGGAGAGGGGCTTTGGGTGAGGGATGCAGGGACGGGACAGGGGGGATGGCTTGAACCTGCCCGAGGGGAGACTGAGATGAGCTCTTAGGCAGAAGCTCTTCCCTGGGAGGGTGCTGAGGCGCTGGCACAGGGTGCCCAGAGAAGCTGTGGCTGCCCCATCCCTGGCAGTGTTCAAGGCCAGGTTGGAGCAAGCTGCTCCAGTGGAAGGGGTCCCCATGGCAGGGGTTGGAGCTGGAGGAGCTTTAAGGTCCCTTCCAACCCAAACCAGTCCCTGATTCTATGAGCTGTTGGAGCCACACGGTGCGGCAGAAGGTGCGGGAACCTGCTCTTTGGAGAGACTTGGTGCTCGGGAGCAGCTTCCCAGCCCTCCGCACGGATCCGCTTTGAAAAGCCACGGAACAAGTTCACCAGGGCTGAAGGTTTTGTCCTTCCTTCAGCTGCACTGGCTTGTCTGAGGCGCCTGGAGCCGGCCCCGGGCTGCACGGGTGGAATCCGGGGAAGTGCCTGCCAGGGAGCCCTGACCCCACGGGCTTTGGGTTCTGCTGCCTCTGGGTGCATCGCGGGGTCCGGGAGCTCCCGGAGTCTTTCCCAGGTTGGACACAGGGGCTTGGAGCAAGCTGCTCCAGTGGAAGGTGTCCCCTGCCCGTGGCGCTGGATGAGCTTTAAGGTCCCTTCCAACCCACACCAGGCTGGGATTCTGTGATTCATTTACCACCAGCTCCCCCCCACGCCACCACCACGGGGCAGAGAGCACCCCCCTCACCTCAATCATGTTGCCCAAGCACTCCTCGGGGCCGTGCTGGCACTTAAATTCCCACTTCCCGCTCTCGTTCCTCTCCTGCAGGACCAAGCGCTCTGAGTGGGGCCGGCAGCACCGGGACGAGCCCCCCCCCGCCCGACCACGGGCACCAAGGTGGCTCCGGCTCCTACCTGGGCGTTACCGTAGGGTACCAGGGTGATGCTCAGGGCCTCGGGGGGCAGCAGCAGCCAGGCGGTGAAGAGCTGCTGCACCAGGAACCTGCGGCACGCGGGGCACAGGCTCTCGTAGAACAGGCTCAGCTCCACGGGGGCAGCCGCCGGGTGCGAGGGGTGGGCGCCGGGGCCCGGAGCCTGTGTGCGGGAAGGGGTCGGGGTGCGCCGGAGGGGGGGATCGGCTGCGGTTCCCTGCTCCCCGCATTCACAGGGATGGGGGAAAGCGCCTGGGAAGGGGGCTGGGAGGGGGGGGGGTGAGGGTATGGGAAGGGAAGTGAAAGTCCTGCAGCGCCGGGGCTTTCCAGAGCAACTTCCCCATGAGCGGAGCCCAGCACCCACCGCCGAGGGGTGGCTGCAGCCACAGGTACCCAGAGGGAAGGGTCGGGGCCGGGGGGTGCCGGGCACCGCTGCGGTGCCAGCGCGGCACAGGGGCTCTGAGCACCCCTGTGGCATTGCCAGCCCGAGCCGCAGGGATGCTCAGGGATGCCCCGCAGCGCTGCCGGCCCCGGCCCCGGCCCCGCTCACCCAGCCCCATAGGAGCCGTTGTCCCGTGTGCCGCGGGTGGCCCCGGCGGCTCTGACCTGGCAGGCGGCGGCGACGTCCGGCGAGCGGCACCAGAGCCGCGCAGGGTCACGGTGGCAGGCGGCAGGAGCCGCTCCGAGCCCCGGGGCCAGCAGCGCCAGCAGCGGCAGCAACGCCGCGGGGGCCATGGGAGCGCTGTCCCGATGAGCGCTGCCAGAGCTGCGCCCGCCCTTCCTGCCCCGCTCAACCGGCCCCTCCGGTGACGCCGGCGCTGACTCACTCGGGCCGCCCGGCTCCGGCCCCCTTCGGTCCCGCAGCAGCGCTGGGGTCCGGGCCTTTGCCCCAGCGCCGCTGGCAGGGCCGGGGTGAAGCCGAACCCCAGCAGCCCGGGGCTGCACCGGCAGCTCTGCCCTGGAGTCATTCCTAGTGCTGGGAATGGAGGAACTTTGTGCTTCCCCCCTTTGGGCTCTGCTGCCACCCGGCACGGGATGGGGCACAACGAGCTGGGTCCCAATCCCGTCCCTGTTCCCACAGAATTCCCTGCAGCAGTTCCATGAATTCTGTTTATTTCGTTTTTGTTTTTTCTTAGGGGGAGGGGTGGGGGTGATTGTTTTGTGGGGTTTTTTTTTTTGGAAGTACCGTACAAAAATCCTTTTACAGTAACAAATAATGGGGCTGACATTAGTAAACATCGACAGAAAGAGCAGAGAGAGAGAGCGCAACTGCTGGTAACGGGGCAGCTGAAGTGGCGAGGGATTATTGCATATACCTAGAACTAAACCTCAGCTGTGCTCATGCAGCCGCCACATCCTCCCCGAGCACAAACCCCACCCCAAGCCCTCAGTGGGGTGATGGGGGAGCGTGGAGCATCCCAAGCTGGGATAGAGAGGGACAAGACCAGAGCTGTGCCCCGGGGAGCAGAACGGCCACGTTGCACCCATGGGATGGGGGCGAGCAGCACGGTTTGGGGGGGATAACAGGGAGTTTTTGGGGCGGTCACAAGCAGCAAAGCACAGCCCAGGGCCTGGGGACACATCGCGAGCGGCGGCATCCAGCGGCACCAACAGCACCAGCAAAGCAGCGCGGGACAAATCACAACCAGCTTCATTGTGGGGGAGCTCAGGGCTTGGGGTTCCCCCCCCCCGGGGGGGGGGGGTGCAGGGAAGGGCTGAGCTGCAGGGAGCCAAGTCAAGCACCATCAGGGAAAGGCAGCCCTGGGGAAGGGCTTTGTCCTCCTCCTTGTACACAGCGAGCGGAGCCCTGCACGGGTGATGGGTGCTGCAGGGCGCAAGGGGGTGACTGTGACCCCCCCATTATCACAGGGAGCTGCCCAAGCTCCTGGGGAGGAAAAGGCTCCAGCGAGAAGGGGGCTGCATGGGGAGAAGAGCAGGAATTGAGCCAGGAGGAGCAAAGAATGTGGTGAGAGAAGGAAATACACTGCTGGGAATGGGGTGGGAGCCTGGCCGGAAGCTTTGGGGTGCTGGCATGGCACACACACCCCCCCCCCCCCCCCCAGAGGCCTCTGCAGAAAGGGCTATGAACACCAAAGCCTGCCTGCCCCATTCCCACGTGTTCTCATCGCTCACGTGCCCAAGCACAGACTATTCCCTTCATTATCCCTGGTGGCTTTTCCCAAGTGATGCCTGAAGCCACACACGGCCTCCTCCGGGCTCTGCACCCCACAGCTCCCCGGGGCTGGTGCCTGCCCCTTCCATGGCACTTGG